TATATATATAAATAAATATATATATATAAATAAATAAATATATATATATATAAAACACACACACAAAGAAAAACAAGTAGATAGAATAGAAAAAATAGAAAGCTAAAACATTTAAATAAAAAAAAAGATAAATGTAGATAAAGTAGAATTAAAATAGAATAGAAAGTGCTAGAGTTAGAGGGTAAAATAAATCTGGAACATATGTGTTTTTAGTCGTTTCTTGAAGATGGCTATGGACTCAGCTGCTCGGATTGAGTTAATCGGATTGTATTAATTGTATATTAATACAAATGTCAAATATAAATAATACATCATTAATGATAATAATAATACATTTATATATTATATGTAAAATTTAAATATGAAATTAAAATATACTATTTAAATATCATCTTAAGTTAAAAATAATAAATAAAAAATGTATATAATACATTAACATAAAATTTACATATAAATACACATTAACAATCAAATGCTCCTTAAATAAATACCAATAAACGTACACAAATAATAACAACAACAACAACAAATTACTCCACTGCACAAAAGGTGACTGAGGAATTTTACACTTAAATTTTCCTCACCCTTCTTATCGGTTTTCCTCTCTTTGCTCTTCCCTCTTTCCTTGCATCGCCTTTCACGATCTCGTGATCGCGATCTTCTGGCCCCAGCTTCCCGCTCCTCTCCAGGTTTGCTGAAGTCTCTGACTTTATCTCTGTCCCATTCCCTTTCTGCACGTGTTCTCTCCCTCCTTTCCATTTCCCTTTCTCGTTCTGCCCACTGATCACGCTCTGGTAGGAGAGGCGGGGGTACGGCACGGCCAGGCCCAGCAGCTACCGCCCCACGAGGCTCCTCTGTTGGCTTTTCGCCTGCTGGACCCAAACCGCTGTGGAAGTCCAACTGATGGAATGTACCAGGATTGAGGGAGAATTAGTTTCCATTAAAAAAAAGAAAGAAAACCAAATACGTTCTCATCATTAAACTCAGTAAATTAAATTAAATCCTTACCTCCTCTTGCGTGCAGAAATCAACACTGAGGAACTTAGGGTTACTCTGGGGCCACTTAACTCCATGTAGCGCTGTACGAGTGGCCATTGCCTCTTCTGCACTAGAGTACTGAGGGAAAGCAAAGATAGTGAGAGGATAAGAAAAAGAAATTCACAAAAACAAAAAACTAAAGATCCAGAGGGATGCAGGGAGGAGACTTACTGTGACGTAACAGTGAGATTTAATCTTGTCAATCCAGAAACCTTCCTCCACTACAGTCCCTGTGCGATTCAACAGCTCCTTCAACTGCCCCAGCGTAAACGGCCTCACCTTAGAAACAATACAAAAGAAGCCTGCGGTCACTCAACCTGGGACAATAAATTCCCTATGCATGTAGCATCTCTTCCAGAATCATCAATGTGTGTACATATACACACATATACATATACATATATATATATATATCTATATATATATATATA